ACCAGAGACGTATACTGCGTCTCTACGTCACTCCTCCTCAGTCCAGATATGGTGACTTCCTGTTCACTGGTTGCTAAAAAACAAGATGGTGACGGACAAATTGCCGAACTGAAGACACAAACTAATGAGACGTGAAGATGACTACGTCCACTTCTTATATACAGCCTATGATGGGGACACACTTGATCTCTTTCCGACAGAATGCATAGTAGGTAGATTATAAAGTTAACCGTCATACTGTACCTCTTCATACTCGTCCCTTCTCAACACCAGCAGAAACAGATGTAATCCACAGGACTGGATCTTCCTCACAACCTGTCAGAACATCACAGAGACACAAATGATAAAGTGAATAAACTCTTTCATTCCTTAATTATTTATGTCCATCCTAAATTAAAAGAACTCTTTGTTTTTGACATGTGAGCAGACAGAAATCTGTTCTTTTCTTTCACCCATTAAAGTCATAATTAAGCTCAGGTGAGATCAATCCAGTCTGTTTACTTTTACCTACAGATACCTACAGCGTAGAGGGATCTATTGGCAGAAATGGATGTTTTCTTCCGTGTGAATTCACCTGGAAATAAGAATCGTGTTTTTGTTACCTTAGAATGAGCCGTTTATATCTACATAAGGAGCCATGTTGCTACGGTAGCCCAGAACGGACAAATCACAGACTATGTACTTTAAATGACCGACGATACTCACAACTGGCTCTGGATAGAGACATCCACGTTTTCACATTCAGGCCACCGTAGTTCTCCGACTCGCTTGGCACATGGGGGAAGTTTCAACTGGTTGCGATCTGCAACTTCATCACTAGATGGCGCCATAACTCACACACTGCACCTTTAAACGGTGAGAAATAACTATCTGCCCTTCAGATTTTTACGTTTATTGTCGACAAGTAAGTTCGGACAGATTGTGAAGCCTGATGAAAGGTCATGGGGTCACCGATGTTAATGCAGATGATCGATCCTGTGAGGTTTAGAGGCATCGATGTTGTGTTGCAGATCGCAACCAACTGAACACTCCTCTGTTCACCCCTCCCTTTTTAAGTGGCCTCCAGGTAAGAATAGATATTTTTAAGAGTTTATTTCTACAATGAGCTACTCTCATCTATACTCTGTTTCATGAATAAAGGATTGTTTTTAAAAACATAAATATTGAATAAAAAAAGCTTTTGTCTGATTGTTCTTGCTGTGCGCCGGTGGATCACAGCGGCCGATTGAATTAGGTTTCACTTTCGGTTACGTGTTCACAGATGTATTGATAAAGGCTTTTTACTCGCAAATATTTTATTCCAGTAACAGTAACGATCGAAGTCAACACTAGTGTGTGTGTGTATGTGTGTGTAGTTGGAGGAGTTTAATACCGGGTTTCCTTTAAGTAATGCAAAAACGTGTACGTCTCTCTGTAGAGTTAGTGTTCGTCAGTGTTTGTCCGTTCTGGGCTGCCGTAGAAACATGGCGGTGCAACATGGCGGACACCGTGTAAAACGTCACTAAATAAAACAAAAACAATTCCTAGTTTCAGGTCATTATACACTAATGAAAACATAGTTCTGCATATTATATTCCATTTCTGCTAATCAACCCCTGAAGTTAGGAAGAAGCGCAGGAGATGTTGCATCATCTAAACTGCGGACACTAACCCTGCAGAAGTCCATGTTGTGCACGTACTCCTCGTTGACCTCCAGCACTCGGTCCCCGTCCCGAAGGCCGCCGCGCTTCGCTGGACTCCACGGCTCCACGTCTCTGACCTCAAAGCTCCGGCTGCTCTGGTCCGTCCGCAGGAAGAAGCCGAAGCTCTGGCCCTCCAGACGCTTCAGGTGGCACAGTCTGGGAACCAGACTCTGAGGGTCTGCACACACAGGGTCCAGTGAAGACCATCATCATCGAGGAAGGAGTCACAAAAGGTTACGTAAAGCCTTGTGTTCTGTATCAAACCTCACCTGGATCATCGGTGATGACCAGAGCTGGATTATCGATGCCTTCCTTTGGATTGAAGGTAAAACTGAGAGAAGGAGAAATTAAAAAGGACCAACCGGTGTTTTGGAAGTTGTATTTCATTCAAGTAGGCTCACTTCTAATCATTTAAAAATAATGCTGTTATTCAGGATATTTTTTTATTATTTCAGCAAACTGGAACCCAATGGTTTACATTCATCTCACTGTATTACGTGTAGACAACACTTGGGAAATGTAGTTTTAGTACTTCTGTGGTTACTTTAACCGGGGATCTTTTCCTAAACCTCACCAAGTAGTTTCCTGTGAAGATGGAAGTTTATGTTAAGTTAATGTAACAAGCAGAAATTGATACAAATTGCTGTATTTCGTAGAAAAAACGCACAAAAAACATGTCACTTTTCTAAAGATATCACAGGAACGTTGCACGAGGACCCGTTTGATATCTGGAGTATCCTGAGGCGACTCACTGGTATAATTGGCTGTTAATCATGTGGTCAAAAACAAACCAGTAGGGCTTCATGACAAAGCAGCATGAACCGTCTTAAAGGGGACACAGCGTTTATTTTCAGCTTCATATTTGTATTTTGGGTTTCTACTAGAACACGTTTACATGCTTTAATGTTCAAACACACGTTACTTCTCTGGTACCGTCTGTCTGAATGAAGCTGTATTCACCTTCTGTCTGAAACACTCCGTTTTAGCGCCTGTCTCTTTAAGAACCGCTCCACAAACAAGTGTTTCATTTCGCCTTTATTCACTATATTCATATTGGATTCTCTAGTGCACCATTGAAGCCCATCATATTTATCCGTGATAAGCATCTATGTCATACACATTTCTTCAAACATCGACAGGTTTGTCTGCTGAAAGCTTGATGACGATGAGCACACGTTGCACTGAGGACACATGTCCTTGTTGTCAAAGTATCCAGAAGATAAAGAGCTCACAGTTCAGCCGTTATCTGCTTCAGTGATATCAAAGTTATGTCATCGCTGCAGAACAGTGAACACAACACCTTATCAGGAGTAAGTCAAATGAAAACTGTTTGTTCTGTGAAACTTGGAGAGATCGAGTCTGTATCTCAACATCCTTTATTAAACCTAACCAAGTATTTCATGATCCTTTCCATTCATTCTAGTTCCATAAAGGATGTGTTTGGATGATCTAAAACACAGGTGTGGTCCTTTATTAATGTCATTAATACAAAGTGTTCAGTCTGTACTCACCGTGGATGTTCCATCTCATGCTGGCAGCCTGTTGGAAAAACAGACACAAGATAAAATACTTCTTCCTGCTGCTGCTTCCTTCTTCCATCATCAGATTCAGGTAGAAGCTCAAGCTGCTTTAGATCCCATGTCTTTGTTCAAAACATAAGATTGAAGCTGTACTCATAGCGGCTCATTTGAAATGTGCTCAGAGAACGAAGGTCACTGGACTTCTTAGGACACAAAACATTACGCCAATACATTTTAGCTCCGGAGCTTCAGGAGGTAAAAATATGACCGATGAACACTGGAGCCTTTACTGAAAGGATTCTCACAGCTCTGCAGTACTGGTCCATCTCCAAGACCTGGTCCATCTAGACCCGATTCCACTCCCCAACCAATGAGACCCTCAAGCACACACACACACACACACACACACACACACACACACACACACACAC